CACATCGCAACGGAAAATAAATAGAACTGTGCACTAATCAGGTTGGTCTGAAGTACGACTTGTTAATCACGAGTATTAGTCAAAACTATGACGAATTTGAGAAAGAGACTAGACATCATTAATGCATTTTTGTACAAAAAGGAAACAACAGTTAACTCGACAGTTGACGCTTGCCTGTGTAAGTGTACAATGCGTGTCATGTGTGCGCGCTGTTGTGTTATATTTACACGACAACAGCACGCGCACATGACGCGCATTGTATACTTACACAGGCAAGTATCAACTGTCGTCTTATACCGTCAAATTACAAGCATGACGGGTACGTTGTCCTATCGGTGCTTGATTATGTTCCAGAATTTTGTTAAAAATATGAGTAGTAATGGTAATAGGATTGAGTGCAGTCCAATTCGGTCGGTAATTATACGAGTGATAACAAAATCGGACAATCGCGTAGCGGGAATCCGATTTGTTTATCACGAGTGCGATTACGGACAGAATATTGGACGACACAAAGTCATACAAATTACAATTTCCGAGAATGAAAAGAATTATTAATTATGAAAGGAAGGGGAAAAGTTGCATCAAACGAAACCAAGGTTGTGATTGGTTGAATCAAACTATAACTTTGAATGTGATTGGTTAATTTAAACTACAAATTTGAATGTGATTGACAGCTTTCCGACAACAAACTGTCTGAAAACAACCTAACAAATGATTTAGTGGAAAATGGGGATTTTTTAAAACAATCACAATCAAGGTAATTGTAAGGATTAAATATATAATACTTTCATCAAATCATTACTTGTAGTTGATGGGCATCCAGTGTACGAGAAAGAACTCTTTTTTCCCGCTGATATTTTTATTGACATTTATTCTCTGACAATATTGACATTTTTTGCACAATAAAAGCGTAATATGTGCCGGAATTAAAATACAATCCATAGACGTAAAAAAAACGCCGTTATTTTTATACTTTACATACGGTTAATTGCGTCAACCCCATAAGCCAGATTACGCGCTGCCATGCATTTATTTTTTTCAAAGTTCAACTTTCCCTCCACTTGCTTTTTCGTCTTTTCATTAACATGTAATTGGAGCTGCCGAGCAAAGCGCGAGTTGACAACATAATTACATAAATGTGTTAAATTTTCCTTAGTAGGAAGAAAACAAGTACAATGCAGGAAAGATTCTACAGCGTCCAAAAGGCATGTTTCTATGTTTGTCCAGGAACTCAGGCTAATGAGGGAGGAGTAACGTGCGCGCTTCGTTCTAATGGTTATATATAGTATAACACAAATTCTCGCTTTTAGAAGTATGAACACTCAGATATGTCTCATCTATCATTATAAAATAATTCAAATAGTACGCGCGCTCTGATTGGCCATAAAACCATTTTACATGAGCGTATGTAAACACGGTTTTCGTTCCTCTTTCATCAGTTATTTTATAAAAGAAATGTAAAATGGTTATAATCGATAAACTGGAAACCACTCCGCTTCGCGTCGTGGTTTCCTACGCTTATCTCGTGTTCTCCCAACCTCCCGCGTGTTTACATCAGGCTATGTAAACACGGAAACCATTTTACATTTCTTTAATGTAAACTTCAAACTGGGAAATTTCAGCACTGTTTATTACTATGTACATGTGCTTTCTCGTAGGGTATTATCTAGATGGATGAGAATACCCTTTGAAACACTAGACCCTCTGTACAGGTCGAAAACGTACAGAGACAGGTACCAAATGTTAGAAAATGCCATGGGTGAGGCACGTGCCAGTGTGGCAGTCGTCACTGCATTAATGAGGCAGAAGTTGTCGGCTGCCACAGATGGCGAGATTGACAATTACACGGACCGTCTGGTCGAAATGGCTGATTTTCAAGAGCTTGTGATAGATCAGAGGGCTTTGGTCTCCTACTCCCTCCTCGTTTTCGTATGCAAAATGGTGAGTATACGAATATAAACTGGGGAACAAAGAAAGTTGGCTGCACTGGGATGGAAGCCATCGGTTCTGTATTACGACACATCAGTTCTGATGTTTAGTGATTAGATTAATCCATTTGAAACAGAGCGAAAGTAATGGTGCATGGATGGGAAGTTCAACCTTCAAGCTGAGCAAATAAAAATAACTGAAAACTAATAAATCAAAACAAAATCTTGCATTAATCCCGTTTGAATCGTGACTGTAAGTTAATTATGTGTCACGTTAGATGTTGTCTATTATATTTAATGCAGATTCTTGAGAAGGTTGGCCTACAAGAACTGTTCATCCTCGTAGAGGAGAAAAAAGAAAAGGTTGTCCTTCCACGTTATGTGGAGGCCTCACGTGTCACTGAAACGTCTGTTCGGTTGCCGAAGGAAGTTAGTAGTGACACGGACAAAGCGTTGAAGAATTTCTTCGCGTCAATTACAACTTTCGACGTTCAGAACGTAAGTATTGATAATAGTTTCATGATCAGTTGTTACTTGTCCCAATACATTATTCATATAAATATATATATCTATATAGTATGTGCATTTTATTTATTTATTTTTTTGGATGTTGTAAAATTTGGCCGGCCATAATTATTATTTTGACTTCCTTGTCAGGTTGCTCCCTTTGTCAATAATAGGATAAAGCCCACTCGATGCGGCTGTGGGGAAGCAGTAGCTTTTAATGTGCCTTGCTTAGCTCGGCACATTAAGGTTACTGGCATCGACCCGGTAATTACCGATGCCAACATACGGCATTTTATAACGTCGAAAGCGATTGGTTGCGTAGGCAAGTCGAACAAGTTTTGGAGCCGAACAACAAGCTCGACATCTGCCCACATAAGTAGGCCGGCGTTACCTTGATGCTGAAATTTTGGGTGGACTTGATAAAGGTAAAATTATACGATGCAAAAAACTGATATGCTCTTTTAACAGTAGTTTTAATTTTACTTTGCCCATACCGTTTTGTGCAAATAAGTGGGCATAAGTGGGAGAACCTAGAGTCCAAAAGAGTCTTGCATTCTTACAAAGTACAAACATATACTACACACGTTTTCAAAAACGTCGTAATTTGAAAATATATAGATATACCTTTCCTGTTCTCAGTTAAAATGTGATAGACGATGCATTTATATTTCCAATCAAAGGAACAATACTTGAGGAACTAAAAGTGAACTGCCCTTATGGGCAATTGTTGTTTTTTCTACCAATTTATATCGGTTGTCAGCGTCTTTCGGAGGAGACTATAGCCTGTTTGAAGAGAATTGTGTTGCTTTGAAGGCCTCTTTGATGTTTTTAAAATCTTTATGTAAAACAACCTTGACTGAACTATGACTGTCTATACACCACAACAAGTACAAAAGTACACAAGGCTTCTGTGATAATTCTGTTTTGCAAATGATTATTGCTTTATTTTCTTGTTTTCAGCTTTTTCATCACTGACTGCCAGTACATCATCTAGTACGTACTAATGAATTGAATTAATTGATTTAAGTACAAGTGCTTTACCATGAAAACAACCAAACCAAACATGTTATCAGTGAAAGTCAACCATACAAATTTCACATCCAGTTCGATTTTTTTGTCTTCTAGATAATGATTTATTTGGAGTAAGAACCTATCAAAAAGGAAGCATTTAACAAAACAATCTGATAAAATATTACTCAGAGATTAAAAATTCACTAAATGAGCCAAAATACTTATTAAAGCTCCGTTTTTCTAGATTATTCCCCAAGAGGAACAGATATAGGCGAGACAAGCTCATCTAGCGATGTTCAAGGCAAGTTACAATTTTTCCAGCATCCCGTATATTTCATGGCTTTTTTACGTTGCTTCTATGACATCTTTTTACTCGCAGGATGAAGTTTTGACCTCATTTTATGCAAGCGTTTTACAATTTTCTTAAAACTATGATGAATGTTGTCAAGCATGCTCGCCTGCATCGTCTATATGTGACAAAATCTTATATGCCCTTCCCCACGTTGAGACTTAAGAGAAAAACCAACGAGCAATCTGGCTATCAAGCAATCAGAGATTGAAATAATGCGATAAAGCTCAGAATGTAATTTTTCAGTGCCACTTATTAGCCGTGTTACCTTTTCCTTCAGGTGATGTACCAACAGATGCTGAGCAAGGTAATCTTAAGGATGTTGATGAACTTGATCTCCCCCGCCCTTTAGTATTTCAAGAACTCGTCAATTAAAATTTACCAGATTAAACATAAACAAAGAAACAACAAGAAAGCTGTTCACACGGTTGAAAAGCAAGGTTATCTCCATTATACTTGTGAAGATTTTCTTTCGGCACCTCGATTTCTAGATTGTTTACTTTGAACTGTTCTTTTTGGCTGTTACAAATCTCTTGAACTTTTTCAGACGCAATAATCGTGAGTGATGCTGAAGAGAAACAAGAGGTATTTTTTGTTATCTTACAACCATAAAATATGTTTACTTTTCTCTCCTTTCTTCTCTTATACTTGATTCATTTCCTGCAAAAAACGTGCATCTTGATTATGTTGGAAAAAAGGGTAGGAAACCATTTTTGTTATAGATTTGTTCTGAGGACTTATCAACGTGGATTTATCATCACTGTTCTCAATGCCCAAACCTACATGAACTATGCGCAGTGTTATTTCCATGGCAGTATGCTAGCATCATGTTACGTTTTTGCAACTTAATAATGATATAAATTTATCGACTGTTGATAGGGAGTGGAGAACCCGACGTCTTCAAAAGTTACAGGTAAAAATCCGCATATTTCACACGGAACCATGGAGGATGGAAACCTCCTGTTTTAATGTTGATGCTGGAAATAGATTCTTCTTTATACGATCATAAAATATATATTTCTTCTTTTCTTACAGAAACAAGGACTGGTGGAAGACAAGTCTCAAAGACGAAAGAGTGAAAAGGTATGAAAAAAACCCTTTTAGTTTTCTCACAATTTTTTCGGTTGTCGCTTTAAAATTTAGAATTAAAAACTCCGGTTCATGTGTAATTGGCAAAACGGTAAAACTTTGGTCACAGAGGTGAAGAGATGGATGTATTTGAAAGCGTGACTGTGGTTGATTGACGAAAAAACGTTTGAGATAAAAATTGCTCCTTTTCTGATAGGTGGAAAAAAGTCCTAGAACCTGTGTGGCATTTTCGTTGGACCTCTTATCTTTCAGTTCTCAGAATGTTTGTGCCATTATAGTTTGCCACGTGCAGTTCGAATGGTCGTAGGTGTAGGTTGTTTCAAAGGGCCTTGAATGTTTGGTAGTTCATACTTAAATTTATTTTCTCCGAGACTATAAGTGTGTAACAAAGATTAAACAAGTCCGGTATAATCTATGTTGTGAAATGTTATATTTTCCACTTCTGTCACAAACCTGTCTGTATCAGGAAAGGCGAAGGACAAGTTAAAAGATGCGCTTACTCCAGTTGAGGAGCTTCCCGCGAGAAGAGTCCGCAGAAAGACCGCTATAAGGTAC